CACTACATGAAATTGCATATATATATATATATCTATAGCATATCCCTATATCTCTATATTTATCAAATCAATATCTCAAATCAATCCGTGTTTTGGAGCACGAGTATGTCCTCTAGGCTTTGCTGGGAGAATCTTCTTGTGGTAAACTGCAGTACATATATCAGTACACGGACATCTTCTGATGCCAGGACGGACGCAGACTCCTCTTCTCCAAACCGCGCTTTCCCTCTCTCTCCCCGAGGTCCCGGGTGTGTGTTCTTCTTGTGAAAGCCATGGTCGGTCTGATCACAGGAGACGGCGAAGAGATTGAATGCCTTGGACTTGCGGATCGCAGGGCTACAAGGACCGCGCATGGACCGCGCATCATCCGCATCGGCGCATCCGGTGATTCCATGGAGCGCGTGGAGATGGGAGGTGGTACGGAAGGTGCGGGTGAACAGCAGCATTTTCCGGGTGTCTCCGCATGAAGTTGTGAAGAACAGGTGCTCAAACAGATGTCACGGCAAAATGATAGGGGGTAATGTAGACTCTTGATTAATACACCCCCCCATTTGAATTGAACATCCTCTTCAAAGGGGGTGTTTATGAATCAACAGTCTACATTACTGGCAATTTGCAATCAATACGAAAAGGAAGATCTGCGACCCAGGTGGTTCTCCTGATGTTTTCCCGATGGAAACCGCTTGGAGCGAGGTGGAGCTTCCAGGTCTTTGGACTAAGAAATGATTGGAGCGACCTTGCACCAACTGCCCTCAAGAAGGTCCACTGGGAAGAAGCTGGCACCAGGAGTCACAAGACGGGGTTGTTTTTGGTCCCAGCCTGTGAGTGGATGTGACAGGGGCACCCCTAGCCTCCATGGATAGCACCCCTTTGTGACTGGTGGCATAAGCATTTCTTGTTGATGAACTAATGCGCTTGGAGCGAGAAACATAGACACCAAAGGATCTGATAGAGGCCTTGTATGATCGTGGATGAACGATTGTCGGTCACTGTGCCTTGTCCTGTCTCGTGTCCATGCGTTGTTGTTTGAAATTGTGTGCAAGAACTGACGTCTAGATTTGGAGCTCTGGAAGCAAGTGAATCTGCTAGTTGCTTTGCTTACTACTGACAAGAGCCCTTGCGATCACATGTTGATGCCTCTTTCGCAAAAGTTTGTTAAGGAGCCAGCGGCGAGTCAAAGCGTGACATTGGCAAGCTGAGGGATGAGGCGGCAAGCGGCGTGTTCTTTGCCTCGCAATTCCTGGCGACGGTTGCGGTGGAGGCTTTTAGTCTGGTTTGATGTTCTTAATGCAGGCTACTGGCTAGACCAGCCAGGCTGAAGAAGTGCCAAAAAAAAAATACCGGGAGTCACAAGACGGGGTAGTGTTTAGCCCCATCCAGTGAGTGGATGTGACAGGGGCACCCCTATCCTTCAATTTCAGCACCCAACTCCTTGGAAGCGCTGGTCATCTTCTGCACGAGTTCCAGGCCACGCACTGCTCGCAGCTCCTCGTTCACTTCGCGTTCCTCTCCGCCTCGCGTGGCGCCAGGTGAACTCCCTCACCGTGAAGAGTGCGGCCCATGATGTGGACATTGGAAAGCCACCCAGCCGCAGCGCAGCGCAGCGGAGAGCAGCGGAGTCTTTAGCGACACGCGACACACGACAGAGGGAAGGATCGGTTGGACCTAACATAGATGATATGCGTGATGATCTGTGACCGTAGTAGTGACCGTAGTAGTAGATGTTACCTTACTTGTGAGATGTTTTGTAAGTGGATTATTTGTGATAAGTGTGTCAGATTGGTACATGTCTCGTTTTACAGATTTTACCGTCCTACGTTTTTTTCACCTTTCAATTCAACAGCGCCAGGGCCAACGGCCACTTGTCTCACTCTGACAATGGTGGCTTTGGCTCACGGGATTCTTTTGACATAACATGTAAAGACAAATCCAATGGGCGTGGTGTCTCTACATCAGTTGCAACGATTTGAACAGCCGAAAACCCAGGAACAGCGACGACCTGCGGAAGAATGAACGGCAACGGTTGGAGGAGAGCTCGACAGATCGGGCGAGCGATGTCGGCTGAAGGTGGCGGTGGCTGTGAGTCGCACCTCACCCACCCAAGCATATATGATGTTGCTAGTGATTTTGATTACACCCTGCTGAACACCAATATGATGGATCCAGAAAACCACTGCTTGCTAGAGGAAAGCAATCTTCCAGGAGGCCAGGACGTTAGGGTCCAAATGAGTTGACTCGAGAATGTAGGAACCTTTGTAAAGGGATTTGTTCACAGGTCAACCAGGGTGTGGGACCCCAAAACCCACGGCCATGTGGATGTAGCACCGGAGCTTCTGCGCATGCGAGGTTTTGAAGGATTTCGTCCGATGGTGAAAGCTCAAGTGAGACTTGCGCTACTGAACCCACTCTGGAGCCCAGTGATGAGGGTGAACAAGAAAAGGGGGGGATTAGGGATTGCAAACACATGCAAAACACAAATTACTGCAAGTACCACAAACAACAGGGAGAGCTTCTGCGCTCCAGAAGGCGCACAACAGGGACTTTGCAACACACGATGACTGTGGGATGGCAGGACAACCAGCGACACAAGCAGGATGTCGTGAAGAGCTAAGTGAAAGCGCACAACAGGCAGCTGGAGATGATCATTCTTCAAACCATGCTTTGATTCCGGAAGTTTATCCTGGATTTGGCTCAGGATGATCTGTTTAAATCTTCGGCAGCTGGCTTGAGTAAATCTCCTTCTACCTGCGGGAAGATGGAAAAATGGCCCTTCTTTTTCCCGGTTCGTTCAGCTTAAATCCATCTTCTTCAGACTCATGTTTGAAAGTGGTCCATTTCTCCATTTCGGAAAAAGACATCAAACGAGTGCGGTCTTGAGGTCTTGGTCATCCAACGACACAAACCGACGGTACCGACACACGCGGGTCATTCGCTCATTCGATGGTTCGTCGTCTGAGGATGGAATTTACGAAGAGCTGGACCAAAAGGTCTATGAGAAGAACTTCCAGAGTTTGGAGGAACCTGAATTCTTTCGTCCCAACCAGAAACGAAACACGTGTTTTTCCTTTTTAAGCGAAGTATGTTGAGTCATGCCAAATAACGATATAGCCTTCTTAGCCCTTCGTGTCTTAGAAGATCCTTTACATAACAAGTGGTTGGGATGGTGGAAACATCATGAAACCCATCTTTTCTTTCTGCCTGGGATCCCAGGTTCTGCCGCAGGCTTATCAAAGAAATGCCTGGTCTTCATTTGTTTTTGATCAGCACAAGGTTGGATTGAGGGAGTGTACAGCTTCAATTCTCATTGGCCACATGTCGCCCATGCGTCCATCGAGCGAGGACAACGTCACAAAGTTGACGCGTGGAGCTGTAAAGCTTTGCCAGGCTGTGGCGTTTTTGGATGCGAAGCTGTGGTGTTGGAACCATGGTTTTTCACCGTGCCTAACCCTACAATCATTCACAAGATTTTGCTTCAAAAGAAGGTGTCGGGTGAAACTTGTGCTAGTACTTCTGATCATTTGCATGATTTTTTCCAGATACTCTCATACTTGCAGTAGACATAGACGTGTCAAGTACGCGTTGACAACCCCATTGTTCTGCCCAGTTTGACCACACCTCTCCCATCCTCTCCCTATCCAACAGGATCGACACTTCAAAAGCACCCAACCAAAACACTTCATGACCTCCAAAGACCAAAGAAGACCATTGGATTTCATCAGGTTTATGCGCTTCATGAGGTCTTTGGATTTCTTCTGCGCTTCTATTCTTACCTCCAAAGACCTCGGTCCCACCGATCCACACATCCTTCCGTGCATCCTGGGAATCGCCAGCTCCGCCATTCCACCGCCCGCCACCCGCTCCCGCCAGGTGGTCGGCGTCTTTCCGGGCGCGCGCATGAACGATGGCACCGAGGAAGAGTTGGACGTCGATGTGGAGCTCCTGAACTGGGAGGAGAGCGGTGTTCACGACCGAGACGGTGTGGAAGACCGAGAGGGTGTGGAAGACCTGCGGCGGGTGGAAGACCTCCGCGCGGTTCGGACGACTGGTGGAGGGACGGGACGTTGCATGGTGTGTTTTGGTGTCTTTTTTGGGTGGGACCGGCGTGGTTGGAAGATGTGGTGTGGTTTTTGGTGGGAGGAAAGGGCCAAGTCAGATGATTTCGTCGCCAGAAACTGAACGAGACTATGGTTTGGACTAGTTTGCCTTCTTGTTGGAGTGAAAGCTGGCAAATGAGTACAACGATATATGTTATTGTGTGTGCATGTATAAGGTATCATGCCTATGTTATGCCATGTATGGGTGGGAGGTGTCGTACAAAAGAAGCAAAAGAATGGTCGCTGGGCGGGTCTTTCCGATCTCAACCCGTGATTCCCAGTTCAATGGTGGAGGTGCATGGTGCATCCTGGCACTATCCCTAGGCCTCCAAGTACCTTCTGAGAAGGTGTTTGGGGTGGGTGCCAGGAGGGTCCAAATACCTTCTGAGGAGGTACTTGGAGGTGTAGGGTATGTATAATGGTTATCTATGTTATTCTGCAGGAACATGCACCACGATTGTCTTGTGGAAGATTTGCAACACCATGTTATTCATGATGTTCTTCTTCCGCAGAGCATGGTCCTGGGTCAATCCTGTGAAACAAAGACAGAAATTTGGATCAACTACCATCGATTTGCACGATCTTTGACACTAAATAATATAAGATAATATAAGAGTATAAGCCCTGTGACCTGTGTTTGATTCCATGATCTTCCATGGGATAGAATCCGGGGCTAGATCCCACCAGTGCTGCGGTTTGGGCAGGGCGGTTTTCCGGCGGCCTTATCACCAGGACTGTGCCCAGAACTTGGTAGCTCGTGTGGACAAAACCTGGCGACAGCTTTCCTCGCAGCCACTCGGCTGGACCTGGAAACGTCGTGGTTTGGTTGGGCGGGTTTCGGGGCGGGTGATGTGGGGCGAAGCGATTCGCGTGAGCTGGGAGGAGATTTCCAAATGAAGACAAAAGATAACAAAAGAGATGTTCGCTGACTTGACAGAGAGAGAGAGAGAGACGCACACAGAGACAGAGACAGACAGTCAGACGGTTTTGGAAAGGAGCTCAGCTCGGTTTGTTGCAATCCTGCTGTTTCCAAGCCTCTAAGGAAGTATCGAAGCATCCTTGACCTGGTCAGCAAGAAGGCGTGGCCAAATTTGTTTGAAGCTTGACAGATCAACATTGAAGCATGACATATGGATCAGATCCTCTTGAGAGAGACCCCAAGGCGCGGCCTTGAAACTGTGATAGACTGATGTGGAAGATCGAGGTTTGTGTTGCATCAAGTATGTGTGCATGTCTTGAATGGTGTCCCTTCCAACTCTTTTATTGTATATTATATAATTGTTTATATATCCTCATTGTTACATACCCGAGCGTCTAAATTCTGGACCTGGGTGCGTCATTGGTGGCACGGTTCTGATGGGGATAATATGAACATGCCTCCCAACAAGCATTTGCAAAAGCAGTTTCGTGTTGATCCAACAAGCAGTTCTGTGATGTTCTGTGTTGATTGCTGACTCAGCCTTCGATATAAATCTCCTCAAATCGCTCCATCACACCTTGAAGCCAAGCTTCGTGGCACCACGGAGTCCACCCTCGGAGTCCGCCATCGTCAGGCGGACCACTCGGTGCTACGGCTCTTGCAGATCTCGCAACAGCACATCGAGAGCCAGCTCGATCGAATACGACACGAACGAGAGCTCTGGAAGGAGGCAGGAAGAGATGCAGGAATGCAGGAGGCTTGCGAAGCGACAACTTGGTGAATTTGGATTTCTGTTGGTGTGTGTGTGTGTTGAAATATATGAGATTCCCAACTCCCCAACTATATTATAAAGATTATAATGGGATTTTGTGTGCTTGTTCCTTGTTTAAGTATTGGCAACCCCCTGAGCCTTCGAGAAGAAAGGCAGCAGCGGCTATGCAGGTCTTGCTGAAGTCGTGCCCAGTCTTCCGCGACGATTTATTTGTCCACCTGGATCTGATCGAACTTGACTTTATACAGTTAACATTAAATCAACACTAAACTTACATCAAACTGATACAAGACTGACATCAAACTGACACCAAAACGTCAGTTTGGTGTCAGTTTGTCGGTTTGGTGTTGATTTGGTGTCAGTTTGGTGCCAGTTTGGTGTCATTTTGATTTGATTTTGGATAAAATTGTTTTGGATTTTACTTTTTTGGACAACATGGTTTTTTGTTTTACAGTAAATTGGTTTGTATCCAAAGAAAAAAGCAACTACTTGCCAGAAATACAGCTGAAATGTTCGATGCAAGCAACAAAAAACAATCTCAGTGCTCAATTGTTTTGCACAAATGCAAAGATTGCTTTAACAGCATTTAAAAGCAGGAGATTGAAATCAAAAGACTGCCAAGACATCAGTCTATATATTGGCAAGTGTTAAACTACACTTCAAGTGCAAATCACAGTCCAAGTGTGACCCTTATGCAAGTATTTGTTCGACATGAGTCCTAAGTGCGACTTGCTTTCGAGTAGGCTTCAATCAAAAGGTCTTGTCGAAGTGTTACCTTGTTCAAGTTCTAGTTCAAGTATTAGTTCGACAGTAGTCCCACAAGTGCTACCCTCAGGTGTTTGCACATATGAACAGATACCAAATGCTACAAGAAAAAATATCAATCAAACACATCCACCAAGAAATCAGTCCGTTTGGCTACTGTAACTCTATGTTTTGCACCTTGCCTGAGATCCAAGGTGAGGTAGCTGCAGCAACCATGCCCAACCCAAGAGCACACCAGATAGTAAAGCAACACTTGTTTCTTGCATAGCAACCCCATGTGTTGCCTGTAGCAAAGGCTTGGTCCAAGTGTCACCTACAGCATGTGTGAGCACACATGTGCAACCACAATACCACTGAAAACCGTTCCTTTTGTGATGTTTTCTCAAGTTTGCTTGTGTATTCTTGCGCAGGTCACAAGCAGACAAACGGTTTTGTTTTATGTATGTTGCTTCTGGAAAATACACAACCTGTTTTGGATACTATTTCAGTTGAGCTCTTTAGGCTATTCAATGAGTTAGGATATCAAATAGGATATGGAATCATTAAGGATTCTCACAAATAATATTAATAGTTCTTGTTTAATATAAACATACGCCCATGGTCAGGACTTAAGACAGATAATCATCAAGATTCTGTCGATTCTGTTATGTCCCTCATGATTCTGTCGGTTCCTACGATTGAAAAACGTAACAGTCCAAAGGTCACGACTTGCACCTGCCACGTTTTTCACAGCACGCCCAGGTCGACCACCACCCACGTCCTTGCGCCAGCCACGACATCTGCGCATCGAAGGTTTTACTTCAGATCTGCTCCGATCTCCTGCACTTTCGACTGCCAAAGCACGAGGTTCCCCCCTGCGCCTGCCACGGAAAGTGATCACCAAGCCCGAACATGCGCACGGCACCACAACGAGAGCACCGTCGAGAAGAGCGCCCACGCCAGCCCACCAATATTTGCGAGCCAGCCTGCGCAGTCGAAATGGACTTGGAAGATCTCGAGGTGAATTCTGTAGATAGCCGCGAATTAGCCGGACACGGATGCGACAACCAAGGGTACTGGCGTTGGTGTCTTTAGACTTTTGGTTTTCACCGCCAAATAGTTTTGACGCACTGCAAGTTGCTGGAAAGGTCTTGGCAGATAGGAGCAAAGGTGTTGAAGCTGCTGCGAAACTCTGCTGCGAGGTGGTGGACAAACGAGCGCAGCAGCCGCTGCAGCTGGCCCTCACATTAAAGGACTCAGTGGGAAGCTTTGCAGGTGACGTTTTTTAGGGAAGTCCCTCAGATGGTCTTCCTACCCGATCAGTGCATAAGCTTTGGGGTAATTGGAGACACCCCACTAGTAGCAAGAACAGGTGGAGAGCTTGGATTCACTGGAGATTGGATTCACGATTTTTCCAGGGATCGAAGCAGCTTGGGAATCAGGATCTCCAGGATCTTCGTCATGGGATGCCATGGTGAGTTATACCAGGAGGGCTTGATCCAGTGAGGAGTCAGATCTTGAACCATGCTGTTCCAGGCTGTTCCACAACACGTTCTTAAACCTTCCCTGGAATTTGTTTGGCCCATTCCAGAGCATCGTGTCCAGCGGCAGAGTTGACAGCTGTGCGGTATGGGTTTGTCTCCAAGCCAGAGAACTAATTAGTTTGATTCCTTACTCATGCAATGTAGGCTCATGTACTTAATCAGTCTACTTTTGTGCGGTAATTATGTTTTATGTAATTGATGAATAAAGCCTCCCAAATGACAAAAATACAATCCATGTTTGGGAGGGTTGAAACATAAGCAAAAATATCTCCAAAGTCTCAGCGTCTACCTCATACCTTTCGCAGTTCCCAGCTCTTCCTCCCCCCCCTTCGCCTCGCGCTAAGCGCTCAGCGGCGCTGGCGTCAAGCGCCAAGCGCCTCGATCGGAGCGGCCGCAGGATCCTCATACAGGGCAGCCAATGCCCGCCCCTCAAGGCGGGGAGACAAGGGCCACGGTCGGTTGGACACCCCGATGTCGTTGGACACCGCCCATGTCACGCGCGTTCCGCGGTGCGCGGTCGGAAGGGCATACAAAACTGCGTTGGTGAGGTCAGTTGCGTTGTTTCTTGGTGGATGGTATTTCAGGGTTAAGGGGGGGGTGTAGTGTAGTTCGGTTTACTGCACACCTTCGAACTGTGGCCCTTGGGAGCGGAGAAGGAAGGCTGCATGTGATGAAGAACTTCTGAAACTTCAATCCTGGGGGTCTTTTGTTGTTGTTTTTTCTACATGCCGAAACAATGGGCACTGGATGGCACTGGGGCATTTGCATGATATGCAGCACAGATGACTGAAACCAGACAGCTAGAAGGATGCAGCATCATCAGCTTGATGGTTTTGTGTGATCAACACTTGAGAACTTCGACAAAGTAGGTCAGATACAGTTGAGAATACCGAAGTCTTGTGGTTGCCTGTGAAGACCGGAGAGGTGGGATCATGGATTGTCTAGCCGATCGGTGCAGGACGAGACCAAAGTCGCGCGCTGGGAGTTTCTAAGAGAAAAGATGGGCATGAATAGACAAACTTGCAAGCACAATGATGTTCAACTAGATTCTAGATAGAACATGATAAGATTGATGTTAAAGGACTATTGCAGAGGGTATCACACTTTCCTGGCTATTTTGTTCATGTCGACCTCTAGACTATTCTCTTTTCCTGGATCTTCCAACTATGCAACATGTTTGCCGTTTGGCTGGTTTTACAGATGAACAATGATGAACAGTAAAGGCAGACAAATATGACACAATTGAAACAAGCAACTTTGACAGATAAAAAAAAACACGTGGCAGACAAACATGGGCACAGTTGTCCAGATCGCCAAAACTCTGAGCTCGCTCACCCATATTCCCTACACCTCCGGTCGTACCTCCTCAGGTTCGGTATGACTGGACCCGAACCTGGCACCCGGGCCCCGAGTCCCACCGAAACGAAACGAAGGTACGACTGGAGGCCAAACGAGATTGAGCAATTCGAAAACGACATGTGGGTCCTGACGAGGCTACATGCCCGGCGGCATGGGACCTCCAGGCGACCGCATGCGGGTGGTTATCGGCGATCTCCTGTGGGTGCGGACTGAGACCGGAAAGGAGGCATCAATTTGCATTGAAGCTGGTTCTCTATTGAAGCTCTTCAGGGAGGTGGTTGGAGGTGGTTGTTTTGTTGGGTGTTTAATCCTTTACGGACGCATGAGATCGAGGTTTTTGATGCGTTTTCGTTTGAGCGTTGTCTTCTACCCTGACTTCAGGGCTCTTTGTGTGGTTTTTCTTGGTGTTGGACTCTCTAGGACGCCCCTCAGTCTTCAAAGCTCAGTTCGTGGGTGTTGCAAAAGGAGGACCTGGTCAGACCTGATCCAAGAGCAATCCCTTTCTCGGCGGTTGGGTTTCAGATATTGATATAGTGGTGGTCACCAAATAGATAGTGGCACGGTGTCCATTTTCTGTGGGGATCTACTTTTCTATCAGGAGGTTTTCAGACACATGGAAAATAATCAATGGCGACTCGGATGGCAACTGTCCTCTACAAACAGGTGGTGCCATCCCACTTGCATGTGATATGTTCGTCAGAGTGTCTGTTTATTCACTGTTAAATTTGGATGATGCCACCCACTGACAAAAGAGTTGCGGTGAATCGAAAGCACCAGCCCGAAGACCGATCCTTTATATCTATCACAGCAGATGCCATGGATGTCTGGGTCCGCATCCGAACCTGGTGGGTGTTTCAAGCTTTGACTCCAGGTATGCCAATGACTCCAAGGGCGATTCCTTGCAGTGGTTTGGCGAGGGTCTCATCCGATGTGGTGGAGGGCCTGATGTGGCAAGGGCCTGCAGTCCTTTGGGTTACGCACCCCCATCACATGGTGACGTGGGGAACGCACCCCCAAGGGACCATGTAAAGTCATCTCCCAAGGGAGAGACCATGTGTGCATCATGCCATCCACTTCTACGCCCTCATCGAGTGAGTCCTGAAGCGGCAACATTGGTGTGTTCCCTTTGGCCGACCATGTGCAGCCGTGCAGCCTTCTCTTGGTGATTGTTTTATGTTCCCTATTGGTATGGGTGCACGCTGCACTGCTTGAGCCGTGCACGGCGCAGAGCGCGGACGTTCGCGAAGAATTCAGTGATATGTTCCCTATTGGTCAATTCCCTTCTGGGTGAATATTTCTTTGTCCAGGCTCCTTTGAGAAAATCCAAGTTCTTTTCCATTCACCCCGCCCCCCCCCTCCGACGTTTCGCTTTTTGTGAAAGAAAGTGGCCACCCTGTCGAAGTCGCCCGTTCATTGGTTATTACAGCTGTTGGTAAACCAAGCTCCGGTTGATACATATATATATATATATAAGTCATGACATTCGGATATTCAATGAAACTCATGGAAACTACTGTAATGGAAAAAAAAGGTGCCCAAGAAAAGGATGTCATTTTTCAAGTGATGTATTATTTATACTCGTGTCTATTTGCTTGCGTTCATGGTTGGGAGCACCGGGGCGGCAGGAGCCCATCGTGCCACCACCGCCCTCCGGAAGCTTGGCCTGGGCCGCAGAGTAACACTCCGGAATCATCGGGGTTGACCGGTGACATGAAATGGATTACTTGCATACAATCCCTTTTGGACGACCATTTGCCTAAAAAAAAAGAAAAGGTGTCATGCATGGTCTTCCCTGGTCATTTCAGGGAGTGTATATAATCTCGTACCAGAGTTAGTAGAGAGCAGTTTTTCTTATCCCTTCTCCCTTTTGCTGTTGCTTCAGATCATTTTGACATGCAGGAAGAGAGGCGCTGTGGGTGGTTGGAGTCAAACAGCAAGACGTGCTCAGCTCGGAAGTCAGATGCACATCAGGTTGGAGCTGATCCAAACACCATGAAGGCGCATGGGCGTCAAAGGAGTTGGGTGGTTTTGTTCGTCCAGGCCAGTGAGTGGATCATGGGCGCCCCTTGCCTCCATGGATAGCACCCCTTTGTGACTGCTGGTGTTCAACTCTTGGTGTGTCTTTGGATGTCTAAAACCGCTCGAGTCCAGCGGAGTTTTTTTAAAGCTTGAACTCTTGAAAGGCGGGGAGATGGTCCCTACACTCAAAGCTACTCTAAGCTACAGTAACAGGGACCATACGCCGGACATGTTTCGAAAACTGTGACTAGACCCGGCCTGTCTGATGCTATCCTGGTTTTGGAGGTCCAACCTACCTTTCTTTCCTGGGTGGCTATATCAAAACCAGCTTTTCCCCCCCAACATCCGCTATTCAATCGGACCCCAAAAACAACAAAACGCTTGCCACCCCCTTTAAAATTTAAACATAAACAAAAAGGTCAAAGAAACTAAGCCTTCCCTTCGTGTCTCCGTCCGCCCGAAGGCCTCCCCCTTGGCCAAGCGCATCGCACGGCCTGTGGCGTGCCTTGGTGGCGAAAACCACACGCGTTCTCCCGGGCACGGAGGCAAACTCGACCGGGCCGTTGCTTCGGCGTTCGACGGTGATGTTCAAAAATGGAGTGCAAGAGTGAATGGTGTGTCATTTGGGGAAGATTATAGAATATGTTGTGGTTTTAATGCTTACTGTACCTTTTCTTCCATTTTCCTGGGCAGCTAGTTCAACAGAAAGGACGGAAAGTGAGATGGGTGAGAGAGTTCCTGGTGTTGGGAACCACATCAGAGAACTTTAAGATTTAGATGATTATGATGTGCGTTGTTCTGCGTCATCAACTGGGAGATCCAAGTACGTATCAAGTATCGGCATGTGATTATGTCATTGGAAGAATTGCATGAAACCATCGCTTTCCAATGACATAATCAATATCAGAACTGGAAGGGGCCTAGGTGTTCGCCCTGTTCGCATCTCAAAGCGGTTTGACCATGGCCTTGAGCGGTTTCCGACACCGAACACATTCACCAAATAGAGCCCTCGTTGCTAGAACCCCAAAGATCCTTTTGGGGTGACCATAAAAGGAATATATGGCCAGTCACTCCGAAAGTCACGTCGCCAAGCTGCGACCAAACAAACACCCAAATGAAAAGGAATTGAATGGACGATATTAATTGATTTATAGTCCTCATTTGTTGCTCTCGACTTTGCAACAGAAACAATGACGCGACGGGTAGCTTAAATCTGCTTCATCGAACTGCGTCCACCGTCCGAGGCCGCCGGCCGAGCGCAAACCGTAGAGGGCGCGACGCGGAGCGCAAACCGCCGCGAAGCACCGCGCGAGGGGCGCGAATGGGATTGAAATGAAGCAAGCGCAGACGTAGATGTCCTTTTTTTTTGGTTGGTTGGTTGGTTGGTTGGTTGTTTTGTGGTTGTCTTTTTGCTTGGGATCGATATCAAACCTGCAGTGAACGACACATGTTTGTGTTTGTGCTTTTTGTGCTTCTTTTGAAAGCTGGGCATTGATTTACTTTCGTCATGCCATGCTTATCAAATTATGTGGACATGTCAATTGAAGAGAAAAGCACAGGTCGAAGTATCATCACAGCCCTTACCCAAGAGCTCATGGCTCTCGCAGGAGATGGACGAGCCTCTCGCGTTTGACTCCTGTGACACAGCAGCGACACGACAGCTGAGTCAGGGGGGTCACTTTTTGAGTCGAACACTGGCAGAGTGAAGAGCCAGAAAAAGCCAAACACTGAGAGGGCTTTGCATGATGGTTCGATGCCAGAGTTTGACTTTGCCCAATCAAAGCTTTTCCATACCCCATGCGAAGATGCGAGGTTTTTGAGCGCCGTGTTGACTGTGTTGTTCGGCGAATGTATATAATAAGTGTTGTTGCGCGAGCATTTCCCGGTGCATGTCGGGGTAAGCTTGGGTTCCAATGACTTAAGGCTTGGTCAAATGCACCACAGCCAGTGCCACAAGATGCAGATGCATGAAATGCATGCTAATTTTTATTTTGGCATTTGCATTGCACTTGAGTAAGGTTTTGCTTCTGCCACATTGAGAAAGCTCATGGGATACACATGGCGAGCCATTCAGACAAGCAGGCTACAGCGACAGTGCCAATGCTGCACTCATATCCAGACACTCCATGACTTGCATATATGCCTGCACTGACCCCTTTCAACCACCCCGATCTAAATATGCCAGTCTCATGGAGTGTTGGAGATATACGAAGTCCTCGATCGTTGTTGCATGAAGTTGTCCATCCAGAGTGCTTTGCATTTGGCCATTACGAAATCGCCAAAGGTTTGTCGACCTTCCCTTGCAACATTGCTTCGTTTTTGATTGTATCTTTTAGTTTAGTTTTGCCGTACTGACATGAGCTCTTGCTCGGGACTGACATGAGCGCACAATCTTGGAGCACGGATTGCAAGCATACTAGTGCATCAATGGTCCAAGTATGTCCAACTTGAATGTTTGCGTTTTTCTTATCATGCGGAGGTTTTCCAATCTGAAGTTGTGCCTCTGTGAAAGACTGGTTCCACATTCGGTGATTTGCCACGTTGCAGGGGAAGGCCCGGCTTGGCGCAGGATGATGTATCATAGCAGGACCAAATGTCAAAAGAAGCAAGTGAAGCCCATCAACAGCGAGCTGGAGTTCCTTTGAACGACTTTACCCATGTTGACAGATTTGCTCAAGGTTGCATTTCCTTTCATCCTGCGATGGAAAGGCCTGTGCTACGGGGAACTTACATGTCAATTTGAGGCCAAAGGTGTTTGGTGGCAGTCGGGTGTGAATCGCGCCGACATGACATTCCTTCCTTGTCCTTCGGCCATTCTCTTGACCTAGGCTTCCTTTCATGATAGCTGATAGCTAAGGCTTAGTTTCATGCACAGTCTACTTGGAATTACGCACTTTGCAGCTTAGCTGCAGCATACCTAGGACCTAGGTGGACCTCTAGATGGACCTTCAACCGTTCCATTTGGTTTGCCTTTTCATCTATAACCAGCCCCAAAGGCACCCACATGTTGCATGGTCGGAAGATCCAAGGGTTTTGGGTCATTGACTCACTGCGTGCAGCGTGGCTCACTGAAAACGTTGGCAGGACAAGTAGAAGTAGGCAGCTGACTAAGAGCTTCACGACCAAGATGATCAAATAACATCAACAAAATCTACTGTAGGTTGTCTTTATGTTTTTTTGTTGACCGGTTTATCAAGATTTATCGATTCGATTACATCACAAGAGCAAGCCTGGGGCATATGTCAGCAGATGAGTGTGTCCGCCATAGATTAGCAACATCTAGCAAGACACCACCCAGTCGTCGCACGGGTGAACCACATGTGCACATTGGCCGAATTCCGAAAGACGGTGTTTCTCCAAACGAGAGATTGCTAGACCCACTCTTCAGTGTGGCTGGTCCTCGTTCGTGGACCGTTGCTTTCTACAACGGTGCCAACCGTCAGTGCCATGGAATCCGGTCCAATTTCGGCCGCTGAACGACGTTCCCGCGCTGTGTCCCTCGGAGATGTGTTGGATCCCGTTGGTTGGATCCGGCGCAAAAGCCAACCGTTGTGTTTAGTTTGTGCCTTGCTTTTCTATGTTTTTTTGTTGATTTTGATTGGTTCCAAGTTCCGGGACCCCCGAGGCCCTTCAGCACTCTGTTAGGGCCCCGAGATTGGTTCGTCTGACGTCTTAGATATATTTGGATCTTCCAACTGTGCGTGTTTGTTTGCATAACACCAGCCAGGTGGTTCGGATGGGATGCTGGGTTTCCAACATGGCAGGGCTCCCGCCTGCCGCATTTCGCAAGGTCCTCGCCGGGCAGGCAATTGAAGCTGGAGTTCTTTGGCTTGCGAGCCGGCCTCGAGGGAGTCACGGCGACCGGACGCCGCGGTCGTTCCAACCCCGCAACGCTACAGTTGGAATCGTCCACATGTCCCTGTGTTTGTCCGGTGAAGTTGGGGGTGCTGCTGGAAGCTGGGGGGAACCTTGAATGGCATCTTCTTGTCTTCTGGTGGGTTCAAGCGTTTTACATAATCCTGTCCACCTATTAAGAAACACGCCGGCCCCCCCCTAATAAGGAAACCTCGGTCGCATTTTTTTTAACAGGGGGTCCCTGAAATTCGGGTGGTCCAAAATAGGGTCTCCTGGGAAGAGCTTCAAAAACCAGAAAGTCACCCAGGAAAGTGTTATATAAAATCCTTTATTACACTCGTATCAAATTACTTTAAAAAACACCTCCAGATCGAAGGGTCTTTCTTCCTTTTCCCCTTCAAAAACCTTTATTAGAATAGTGATTCTTCATTAGACTAACAACTAAAGCTTTCGAAAGGTGATGTCGCTGTGCCATGCTGTTTTGCGTGACCTCGGTGGAAAATGCGTTTGCGTGAGTCCGTGCCATTGGGGGAAGGAAACCCTGCTGGTGTAAACACGGCGTGTCATGGTGGAAAGACAGAGGTGGGCAGTTACGGATTGTTTTTGGAACCTAAAGAGAAACTCCTCCAAAATCGGCCATGTCGGTAGTTTAGTAGCGGCTTTGAGGGCGGTAAATCAAAAACAAATATAAGCCGTACTTAGGGGGGGTCCGACATGACTTCTTTTTCTTGGGGTCCGCTTTTTAATGCGTACTCGGGATTAGTGCTCGGGACTAGTGCTTACCGCAATGGGTCGAGCATAAGCGACTCTGCGCACAATGCGCTGTGAACACTGTGAACTTTTGGAAACTCAGTGTTTCAAGAACAGTATATATCCTTAGTATCCTTCTTGAGTGGGCCCGAGTCAGGGAGTGAGAAAGGCAGAGAATGCTGACAGGAACGCTTCCACCAGTCTCAATGCAACTCTTTGATCCACTTGGTTTTGTCACTTTTTGTTTGTGCTATCTCTATGCCACTTGTTCCGGTTGTGTTTCGTCTTCCTTCCCAAAACCACCTCAGTTGAAGCCTACAGAGAGTGGCTCCGAGCCATGCTGAATAGTGCTGGACCATGTGGCTCTCAGGTGCGTCACTCTTCTTCGGGTCGAAGAGAGATGTGTTTTCAAGATGAAAATCCAAAGAACAGGTGGATTGATGAACTGATCCAAATTGTTCAAGAGAGATCAAAGACGTCAAAGAGCAGAATTCCATCCAATTGATGATGATCCAAAGAGATGAATTCCAATTCATCCGGTTCCCACCACCCCAAGTATAGGAATTATAGGTGGAAACGCACAAAATCTTAGGCAAGCGCAAGAAGAAAAGTTGGAAAAAATCCAACCAGTGATTTAGTGGTTTTGACCAAACAACCATGGTTTTGCGATGGATTTGGGACTACAACATTGGCTCAACCTATTTACGTGGTCTGTGACGGCTCGTTTGTTTGTGGGTGTTTAGTAAAACAGGGAGACCTCCCGAAGACCCCTTTGAAGATCTTTGAAGAACGGAAACATATATATATATATATCCAAACCCATTGGTTTTATTAGGATACAACCCCATGTTGAGTTTGGCCCGAGCCTTAACGCCAGCCTCTCCGCTGAGGTTTATTAAACTGAGCAAAGACTACAGACGCTTGATGGAACTCATCGAAAAAAGTGAGCCAGAACTAGGCACCAAATCTCCGCGGGATCTCGGTCGATGTGTTGAATTGTTTCTGAACAATTCTGAAACACCTTGGTCTGGAGGTGGTGGTGCCATCCATTTTGGATCAACAAAGGACATGGGGCTCGTGATTGCTCCTATGTTGCGCCGATGTTGGGTGTCAGACTGCAGATTGGTAGTTTCAAGCAACATGTTGTTTTTTGTTCAACCTCTGTCTTAGCTGATAAAGACCAATATAAAGATGAAGCCACCCATCAGAGCAGAGCAGAAGTCGTCAGTACCTTCGCTGCACCTCGTCTTTGACGACCCACGCGAGCCACGCCCTCGGCAGTTGCAGAGATCTCTCCCAGCTTGACTCCGCGCTCAGACTTTGTGGTCACCAATCCAAATCAGGTGTGGTGTGTCCAGTGTGCCCATGTTGATTGTAGCAAGTGCATTGGCCGAAGTTCCAACCTTCAAATCTGCATGGTACTAAGAGGCTACGAAACATGCTTCAAAAGACGATTTCAGCGTCATCTCATCTATTACCCTAGGCCTCCAAGTACCTTCTGAGAAGGTGGGACTGGGGTGGGTGCCAGGAGGGTCCAGTCATACCTTCTGAGGAGGTACTTGGAGGTGTAAAGTGTAAGGTTAATATGTTGAAGAACTGCAGAGCTCTTATAATCGCTTCAGCCACTGGACGGAGTTGGCCAGGTCGAAGGACCTCGAGTATCGCCCAGAGCGGCCAGCAGAGCAGAGACGGGGCAATTGCTAGCCATTTGGCCACCCATTCGGCCGGGCATTTTTTTCTTCTTGGCGCGCTTCATGCAGAGAGAGGGAGAGAGAGGAACTCCTGGCTGAAAGAGATCAAAAGAGAGTTGTTGAAGTGAGAGGGAGGCGTGGATTCGGCCATTTTCAGTGGGTATATGGGCACCCAGCACATGTGTCACGCCAAGTGATTCTAGTGCATGCTTCTCAATGGAGGTGGGAAGCCTCACAAAGTGGGAAACTGAGTTGTTTTGCGATATCTAACCTAACTTTGACTATTGAGCTTGTTTAGGAGTATGGCAGGAGTACCTTAAGCCTACCATAGATGGACCATAGATGGACCACTTTTGTAGGTCGACCGTGGTGATCAGCGTTGGCAGGGTGGGTAGATAGAACGATGATTCTGATTGGCCTGGGCAGGCGGGATGAGGGGTGGCAGCTTCAACAATTGCGCGCAGAATGTGCTGAGCTGATGCGGAAGCATCGAGAAGATCAGCACAACATGGAGGCGATAGTTTTTTTTTTGCGTGCCGAACCGCATCACCTCACGCGTGCGTTCAAACAAATATTATGTGTTTTGTTGTGTTGTTCGTAGAATAGTCGCCACTGTATGTGTTTTACATTTTGGGATGCTATGATTGCTGACTCAGACACTATGTATCGCATATATGCAGGGTGCCAGAGTCCAAAAGGATGAACAAAGAGCTTATGACATCTTATGACTATTTTTGAGAATGGCCTTTACTATGCGGCATCATCCACTGGTAATGGTATATCTCCAACAGATACGCCTACATTGATCCCTGAAACCACTCCAACATGGGTTGTTTGGATAGACCAGACATCTTTGGATCTAAAGCAGTTGAGGTCGGTGGGTCGGAGGGTCGGATGGATTCGCCTGGAGAAGGATCGGTCTCTCGTTGACGAAGAGACCCTCCACCCCAGTCGTACCGGACGAACAGAACCCAGTCCTGGGACCCAACCACCCAACTGAAGAGGTAGGACAGTGTCGCCCCAAAAAGGCGGATGCTTCGGACATGTTTGGGGTCGTTCCGTTCACCACCTCGATGCAAAAATGCTCTAAAGACCGAAAGGTGGCTTCTAAAGGCATTTTGGAACGATTGCGTGAGATATTAGCAAGTGGTGACCAACGTGCTAAACAAAAACAAGTGGTCTATGCTAGCTAGTGGCCACCTAAATTCACCTGGTGCTTAGTGGTGATGTCTAGAGCAACGTGACCAGCACTGGTCACCACACCTCGAGGATGTGACCAGCACTGTAGCGGACGTGCGGCAGCATGTGGAACGGCTGCGCCATGTGGTGGAGGCGGATCGATCGGAACTGACCGATCGGTGTCCGAGGTCGACATGGACTGGTTGGACGGCCCCATGTGATGCCAGCTGTTGGAATCTGTTGTGCTTGAAGACTTCTTCTCCCTTGAACATAGCTAAATTCATCCCATAAAGCATGAAATATCATCAAATACTGCAGATCATCTACAAATAGCAGGTTTTGGGATGTTTTGATCCACTTCCTGCTCTCTTTTCAGTTCATGTTTTGGCCAAGCGCGGACGGTTGTCCTTTGCAAATCATGTGGCTGTGGGTCATGGCACCCGGAGCCCCGTTGACCCTGGCGTAGGTTGACCTCCCCAGTGGTCCATTCTGTTCATTTTCGGTGGTCAACCAGGGTCCCCGGGTTTTGAGCCACGGCCATATCAGTATTTCCACCTGGTGCTGGTGTTTTTCCACTTGCATGATTGTTGGAGGGCCGGTCGGGCATGTCATGGCTTTCTATCTTGGCCATCTTGGCTCACAGATAGAGTCCAACAACTGAAGAAAACCAATTCCAACCCATATTCAACCCATATTGGACTATCATTGCCCTTGCGAGTTTGGACTTTCTTGGAAAGAGCCAGAGCGGCATTGGCAACAAGGCGTTTAAGAACAAATTCGTGACCCCATATCCATACAGGCAGCACTCTTTGTTGGCACTGAAGCTCCTACCGGCATCATGACAATTGTGCTCAACGTGACACTGCTAAGTGGACGCAGCTTCTCCATTGCAGCCTCGCCAGAGAGCAAAATACAAGAGTTGAGATGGCAGGTGCAGAAGGACCTGGTTTTTGCGAATCAGGAGATGGTGTATTTTCCCAAACTGGGTGAATCCCCTAACCTGGTGAACATGTTTTAGTTTTGTTCATTTGCCTTCACTTTTCCTGTGATTCTGGCAATCTGGCAAACTATCTCCATACCGTTCTTTTGGGCTTGTCCGTGCTCAGGTGTTCTTGATGGTGTTTGTTGATGGTGAAGGTATAGTACCTATGCCTGAGAACGGTACCTACAGTATGTTAGTTTATAGATGCTCCAAGCCGCAAAGCCATTGGGGAAAGAAGGTGCCTCTCAAGACTTGCTGCCGAGTCTTTGGGGGTTTCGTGCTGAAATGACAAACACCGACTGTTTGACGTGGCCGTTTTTGAGGAGAGAGGCATCTCCATCCGACAGTTTGTGGCCCATGGTCACGCTTCTTGGACAAAGCTTGACTATACGGGACAAGCATTTGTTGCGAGTTGGTGTTCATAATTTCGGAATTTGCTGACGTCGCAGACTTGTTGAAGCTGATTAATCTTGCATTGGACAGCACATGATCCTCAAGATGTCCTTCCAAGAATGATTTGCCACTGTCGAACAACTCAGATACATATATATATATATATACCTTGTCAAGTCATGCTAACCGCGATTTCACACGTCGACAGGTGTTTTGCATGTTTTTATGTGTGTTTCTTCGTTTCCAGTGATCAGAGAGAAACCTGAGATGATCCGATTTGCTCGGAGAGAAATCTGAGAATCGATCCGATTATTTTGTGAGGCCTTGGCAGCAGGGACTCTGGATGAGAACGGCCTCAAAGACGGCGAGGATTTACTGGCTGTCCTTGGCAGCGCACAGCTCCCGGGCGGAGTTCGGCCGCAAAAGTTTTGGTGACATGACCACTTTTCCCATGTGTCCAGGTGAAGGCTGGTGGAGACGAAGGAATCCAAAGAATGGGGGTCGCGCATGGGCGATACAAAAGATGTGAGCAGTCGCATGGACGTTCTGATCCCATAGCTATGGGCTTTCACATGCCTAGGTGGTACAATCGTCATTCAACTTTGTGTCCTGTAGGCCAATGCTGCACGGGCACCCTGCAGCGAAAGGTATCTCCTGATGACCTGTACTCGGAATGTTGGAATTATATGAATCACGAGGTTAGGGTTGGAGCAAAGTCTGTCAAAATAGCGAGAGATGTGGCATAATTCGTTGAACTTCTACGGCCTGAAGAACAGTGTCATCCATAGCAGATACATAGAGTACTTGTGACTTGTTGCCAACATGAAACAAATGAGCCACCTCCGGCCTAAACCGGAGTGACTAATAAACCGGAAAGTGCTACGACATAAAACCGGAGTGACTCTGCGTCGGGGTTTCTTTCGAGTGGCTCAAACAGATACCTTACGGTTACCGGTACCTCTTCGCTTCTTCAGTCCTGAATCCTGTTCGTCTCATCGGTCGCGGTCGCACCGTGACGGTCCTTTTGTTTTGGGTTCTGAGGCCTCACCCAACGTGACCGGGGCCCGGGGCAATGAAAAGGTTCGGTCACTTCGTGATCAATCAGGTTCACAGTTCGGTGATTTAGAGCTGCAAATGGACGAATGCTCGAAGATTGTGCATGGAACAGCTGGACACTACACCTAGGACCTAGTGTATCCTATTCGTTGGTTTGTTAAAGTATGTCAAAGTGTTTAAGTTCAATACAGAGAAGTCAAACATCGCAGCTACCAAATCTTTCAGAGATCTTTGACATACTTCAACAACATACCTAGAAAGCCTAACCCTAGGGATCCACACACCTTCTTCAGAAGGTTTCCATGGCTTTCCATGGCTAATAGTGTCTCCTTCCTCACCTTCTCGTCTGGGTGGCAGTGGATCCCTACGTCTCCCACCGTGACGGGAAGACCCGGTCAATCGAAGTGCTGCGCATTCATGGCTGGTGAGATGCTGGTTGTTACGCAGAGAGCTCATTGGGGTGGTGCCATGCCGGGGTCAATGTATATAGGCATATATGACTCACATGGAGTGCTTGTTGTGACTGTCATGTGATGCTAAGCATGAGATGCGTTCGACTTGCCACGTCAAGTCGCCGAACTGTTCCTAGGCTTGTGGCAAGTCGGCATTGTGATGACTTTGCCTTGATAAAGGCTGATGGCACAGCTTCTTGGCAAGTCAACAGGCTGACCCATGCTCCGTGCTTTTCTTTTGGGACTGGAGCTTTTTGGATCCGTCACGGCACCGCGTAAGCTACGCTACGCGACAAGAGTGTGAGGCTTCTCAAGTTCAACATGAAGAAATCTTGGATGTCGTTTGCACCTCACATGTTTGCAGAATCGTTCTTGAGCAGTGCCAAAATGTTCTCATGTTTATCACAATGGTTAGAGATCTCATGTTTTCTCATATGCCCCAAATCCGGGAGAAGGTGCTTTAGATCACCGTAACATCCCGTAACGCGAACGCGCCAGATGGCCTGACCCCCCGACCCTCTTCGCTCAGCTGGTCTTTGGGATCGAAACTTTCCGCAAAGATGCGAAGCAACACGAACTGCTTATGCCGCCAGTGTGGTGCCCAATGTGAGAGATATGTGACAAAACCCGCCCAGGTGCATGCATGGGGTCGCTGGAGAATCGATGGACCCTTCCAGAGACCTGGCGGCCGTTCCGTCTGTTCGTGGGTCGACGATGGTATCGGCAGCCAGCGGCAGCCGGTACAACAATGTCGCGTGTTCATTGCTTGGGGGTCGCGATCAAATCCTGTCATGTGCCGAAGCACCTCCTGATGTGTTGCGGTTTGGGGTGGTATCGAAACGAACGAACACGTCCTGAGGGTGATTTGACCTTGCTCGCTGTGTTCGCTCCAGAAAGGGGCCAGGGAGAGGATTCGATAGGGCCGAGATGTAGGGCTAGATGGATTCTCATGTACTGAGACAGTGGAAATGCTCAGGAGTACTTAGTGATACAGTAATCCGGTGAGGACATTTTGCGGGTATGATTATGAGGTTCACCAATACCCTGTTTTATTCGAGACAGATTTCCCTGATCCGTTCGCTGATGTCTCAAGAGCGGCAAAGGCATTTTGACTTTCAGATGGACCACCGATGGACCACTCCACTGTATTGACACTGAAAAGAAGCTCGTCCTTTGCTGTAAAGGAACGATGGCTTGGCTTCCTTCACACGTCGTCCTTGAGAGATCGCTTTCACCGTCGAAGCAGCACAAAAGATCTGATTGCCCAGGAGGAAGCTGGTCGATGTTCAGCACATCACTGCCAACAAAGCAGCACCTTGGACCGAGCTCGGTCTGAAAACAGCCGAGATACTCTCCCTAGAACTGGAAGTGGATGGCACCACCTGTTTGTAGTGGAATTCATGGTCTTCCTTACGGGGCCATTCTCCACTTCCATGTTAGTTCCAGGGAGTGTATATGTTTTAGAGACGTATTTTTGTTGCCCACCTTGTTCATCCGAGAGGAACATCATCAAAAAAACTGCAGTGAGTCGGATCGTTTCTTTCCTCGGCAAGACCATGCAAGACCAATAGATGTAGTACAGACTCAATGTATTTTGTTCACATCCGAAATCCATACCGATGTCAGGTCTCACCACCCCTCCCACCCCGTCACATTCCCTATAGGGATCCAGTCGTACCTTCTCAGAAGGTATTTGGACCCTCCTGGCACCTACATAACAGTGTCTCCAATCACCTTCTCAGAGGGTACGTGGATCCCTAAGAATTTGTGGGGTTCCCTTCTTATCCGTCGCACCCTTCACCATCTTCACGTGCCAGCAAGAACTCCTGGACAGCCGCGGCATGGCTGAATTTCGGGTCCCTGGACCGCCAGGTGCAGGTCTGACCCAACTACCAAAGCATTCCAAGTCTGGCCCAACTACCAAGCCTCCAGGACCGAACCCTTCCGTCCTCGAACTGTCCTCGACCTTGCCTCCTGTTCGCCATGCCAACCCATTCGTTGCGCTCGCCATGCACCATTGCACCGGCTCAAACCACCGCTTGCCAGGCTGTGGCTGCCATCGTCTCGAACGGTGAGGTCGTGACGTGGGGCAGCGATGGCTCCGGAGCCTCGGAGTGGTTTGGCTGCCCGGTTGACATGGAGCTTTGATGTGTGCGACAAGAACGGAGGGTCTGACATCGGCTATAGATATATTGTATTAATATAGCTTCTTCATAGCGACCGTCGGGTGGCCGTTTCTTCATATGCCACTTGTTGGTGGTTCATACATTGCTGAACTCTGAGTCTCGGGAGGACAGACCTGTGAAGTGGCGCCCATACCGTTTGCGTGAGACTTGGACACAAGGGAAGTCGACCGAAAGTGCCAGGTTTCACATGAAAAAACAGACAGCAACAGTGTACATTGATGTGTCTCTGAGGAGGGAATTCCTACACGGTCGCTGCGCAACTGTTTCAGATCCAGGCTTGCGGCATGTCCTGTTTGCACGCAACAGGTTTATACAGTTTCAGGAAACGTAAGCAGATTGCAGACGTTGTTGTTTCAGCTATTCGGGTGCAAAATGTTTGCGAGTGATAGATTATGTTCAATTACTGTTGCAAAATGCTCAATTCTCACTCGCAGCCTTACAAAGAACTACACCTATCCAGCGCAGTGCCCCGAGGAGTCTCACTAGCAGAAATTGATAGAAGATGATATACAGGTCTTCCTCAACAAAAGGGCGTTGTTGCGAACCACCACAGGATGAGCCAAGCGATTCTTTTAAGCCACACCCAGTTACATTCGGTTTCATCAGAACTCGCGACTGGAGATTCATTTCGACCAACTCGCCCGGTCAATGTCGCGATGATTCACGACCTAAGATTCACGGCCAGGAAGTGGTGGCCACGATTCATGCCTTTGCAGCAAGACGGGCAGATGGCAAAGTCATTTCTTGGGGATGGCCGAACTATGGAGGCGATTCCGAAGAGGCCCTTTTCAAGCGATTCATCGCACGTGCCGCACGTGCAACGGATGCCAAAGTGTACAGAGAAGGGACGACAGCGCTTCATGCTTGTTCCTGGTGCGTGCGTTTCGTGCATTTAGTGCATTGTGTGTGCACTGTGTGCGTCTTTTTGGGGGTTGCGGTCTTCAAAGTGCCTGCATGTTAAGTTAAGATTGCTGGCCAAGGTAATTGTTCGCAGAGTACGTATCAAGCGGCAAGTTGTGTAATTAGGGTGGCACTACAGATGAGATGATTGGATGTTCTGAAGAAAGAGAACACAGATCGCTTCCAACTTGGTGCAGATAATGATTGCCGATCAGCAGTATGTCCGCGGGGTGGCATAAATGTCGAAAACACATTGACCGCTTAAGACAGGCAGAGCAGACGCAGCAAACCCAGTGGTTCATCATGCCGCCAGCGGCCTTTCCCCAGGTTCAACCTGGAGTTTGGGAATCATGTTTGCTGCGGTTCTACATTATGGCATTGTACCTCTATATACAATTCTATAAAGGTTCTATAAGAGACTAGTGACTGGTATCATACTATAGTATCATGGAATATCTTTATAGAGAAGAACCTCCTATTCTATTCAAATCTATATATATTATATAAGTATCCATTTCTGTTCGCATCCTCAAGCTCCTGGACCGTCCATGGGGTCCATCGCCACCCAGGTGGAACGTTCGTGCTGCTCGGTGCCAGGTCCAAGAGCAGCTGGTGAACGTCCAATCCGTGACCGCTTCCAAGTACTCCTTTGCCGCCTTGAAATCCGATGGCACGGCGCCTGGGTTGAGCTCAGTAGCACCGAAGCGAAAGCCCGAAAGATACTCGTAGGGTGAAGAAGTGGGGACCACCGAGGTCTTTTTCGAACTCAAAGCATTAATATAACAGCTAGTATAGCATGGTCGTCATAGCAGTTTTCCAGGGTGGACATGACTTTCGCATCAACCCCCGGAACGGTGATTCTTGGTGCCACCGACCCTAGAAGCCGATCGCTGATTCTCCACTTGACAGGTGGTGACCTGGGGTGAAGGTGCTTGTGGCGGGGACAGCAGCGCCGTGCAGGAGGAGCTGCAGGAGAGAAGACCGGCACTGCACTGGGTGACCATTTATAGGTGAATCATTGATATATGTGTTTGGAGATGTTCGTAGTTGTTTTCAAGCAGATTGTCCTTTTCGTTGGACATGTTTTATGTTGTCCTGCGTTCTTTTGTGTCAAGTTCCAGAATTCACTTCTTTTCAACGCTCTTTGCTCGCGATATCTCGCGATGACTACATGAATCTCGATGTTTCATGGCGATGTTTTATGCACAGAGTTGACTAAAAAGATCCGCATCACATGTCTTAAGGCTTAAGGATCTGGCGTGCCGGCCCCCCCAAACGGGGGCCGAAGCCACCGAAGCCATGTCGGACCCCAGCGGGCCCCGACCTCGCTTGATGTTCTGAGACCTCGGTGATTCCTCCGTAGGGTTTGTTTGTCCTCTCCATTGGAGGGGTCGCCCTCAGGGCGACGGAGATGCTTCACTGGTCGTCCTTTTCGCGAGACTCTCCAGACACGAGCTGTTTGGGACTGGTATGACTCCCGATCAGTTGGATGGTTGATTCCAGAGGTCAATGTAGGTCAATACCTGGATCTTCCAACTAGTGTGCAACATGTATCCCTTTTCATCATTGTTCATCTGTAAAACCGCCAGCCCGCCAGCCAAGTTCGGCATAGTTGTTGCATACTTGGAAAGATCCAGCTATGCATCTGCCCGGGTAGATTTGCGGATTTGTGTCAAAAGCCGTGGCAAGGCACGGGATGAGCCTGAAAGAAAGAACAGAGACCTGCTGAGACAGGCCTGAGATTTCAGAGGTACCATCCCAGGAACCATGCCCACGCTGCCTGGTAAAGCGAAGACTAAAGCCCGTGGAATGTTTTGATGATGTCGGTGTCTTATCTTTTGAACATGTTTGAACTCCATCCAGCTTCTTTTTCACGGCAGGACATCAAAGTCATTGTCGCAACAGCCCGTGCTTTTTCTGCCCTGCGCGGAGATGGTCGAGTGATTACTTGGGGCAGAGTGGTGTCTGGTGGAGAGTCTCGCCACGGCTGGGACGGGTGGTGAAAAACACGTGGCAAGGCTTCTGGGGACGGTTCTAATATGTTCTAATTACCCTAGCCTTCCAAGAGCATTTATCAAATTGGTTGACCTGGTGTTGTAGTGTAACATCCTTAACAAAACAAAGCTTGTTCGGTAAACCTAATTATACATGAATGGTGGGCCGGGCCAGGATCTTAGGGTTTAGTTTGATTTTTCCAAAGTTGTTGAAAAGGGATTTGTTCGTTGACATGGTCAAAATGATCACAGTCTGGAGGAGCATGAAAGAACAAAACAAAGAGAAACGACCAGATAACCTCCACAGAACATTTGGGTGCCCACTCTGGAAAGTTATGTTTCTTGGAGTCTCCCTACCATCCATTGACATATTGATAGCACACCACCCAGATTGAGGGGCCTTGTACGGGGTGGGCCTTCTGACCTCCGTTGATTTGAACTCCGAGCCGTCCAGGAAAGCAGAGCTGTCCAGCTGGAGGACATTCATCAGATTTGCGCTTCGCGGAATGCCTTTTCGGCCGTGAAACACGATGGAACCCTGGTGACATGGGGAAAACTGGCAGGCTTGCGGAGTCTGGAGGAGAGTTGGGAAAACGATTTGGAGAGGAATTTGGCTCAAATCATCAAGGAATTGGGTTTCGATAGGTTTTTGATGGTTTTTGTATCATGTGAGTCATTCTTGAGTCATTCTTCATGCGTGGTCTTACAATGTCTTACATTTTGTCACACTTGTTTGGAATATCTCAACCTTGCCAACCTAGCCCTAGCCATGCCTAGCTTTCCTTTCAACAATCCGACCATCTTGGGTTCACACTCTGCTTACCTTCCCATCACTCGGCAGGTGTTGTACCACCAGCCTTGCCACACCACTGCTGTGAGCTCGTAGCGTCCGACGGTGCCTTTGCCGCTTGCTTGGCGGAGGGTTCCGTCGTGGCCTGGGGCGACCCCCGCTACGGCGGCGCTCCGACGGCGACGACGGCGGCGGAGCTCCGACGCCTGGCGGTCGGTAGATGGGGTAGATGGCGGAGAATCACAGCATAGCACAGGAATCCCTTATCTTCATGCCAGTCTTTGCTGGTGCAGACTATCTTATGGCTCTATGACCTAACCTCCTGTGCCCAATATGTCTGTTTGGAAGGGCGCACTGCGCGACAGACTGTCGATCGGACAGGTGGCTCCAATTCCAATGAGAGGAGTTAGAAGCCTCGGAGCATGAGCTCAAATCCAGTGTTTTTAGAGAAGTAACTACATCAAGGGCATGCCGATTTGCTCAGCGAAAACGCAAGGTTGGCGATGGTGTTTAACTTGTTTTGACCAAGATCAAAGATCCAAGAAACATTTAGCAGGAGAAGAACCATTCGCTCTATTGGTATGACATGTTGGTCACACAGCAGATCCACCAATGCTTGGAGTCCCACCACTTAGAGGTGAGGCGAGGTAGGTGGTGGATGGGCCAGGGGCTGACGGGACACATGAAGTCAGCCAGTGGAACGGCGGCCCTTCGCCTCATTCAAGGACCAAAGGCGGCCCTTTGCATCATGAACATGTTGCCTTGTTGGATGTTGCTATGTTGCTATGTAGATAGCTAGTGTACAGTAATTAAGTTCACGATGATAGAGCTTCCTTCCTCATACAGCAGTTAGCTTCGTTCCTCTTCGTGTTTTGTTCCTTTTCCAACGAAGCTAATGAGTGTGTGTGTGTCCTATAGAGTGTGTTTGGTTTTTTGTGACCCAACTCATCCAAGGGTTTTGTATTTCCTTGTTGTGTTTTGTGACCCAAGGCGTTCCTTTTCTTTCTCCTTCATCCCAAGGAGATGTGACCCAACTTTGTGCCTCCAACTACGCCTTCACTGCTTTGCGAGCGGATGGCACGGCCACTTCCACGCACGGCCACGCACGGCCACCGCGACGGTTGGCATGCTTCATTCACGGAACGCGAGGGGCCAGCGCACCGGACATAGATTTGCATTCAAACACCCTATCTCAGGACAGATGCTGCTTGTAACCTGCTTAATGGCTGCACGCTGAAGGGCCTGGTGAGGAGCACTATTTGGTACTCTCCTGTTGATATTCTGATGTTTTTTTTTTTTTTTCGATACAACATAGTCTGATTTGCGATAGTCTGATTGACATGGAAGTGGAAAACTCACTGTTCGGAGAGCTACATAGTCTTAGAGCACAGCCATTCGGAGGAACTCTCTTCATGGCAAGCATTTCCTCTTATGACCGGTCTCTCATTCATGGTCTTAGGTCGTCTCCTGGGGCCATGGACAAGCTGACCGCCAAGTTGAAGAGGTCGTGAGAGGATTGGTCGAAGTTCGGCAGGTGGTGGGTAGTGCAAGTGGCTTTGCTGTCCTGAAGCACTGTGGCTGAAAGAGGGTGGAGCTTTCATGAAACGCACAAAGCACAACGACGGAAAACAATCCAGAAAAGATGTTTGCACTTTGCACGATATGTTTGACCAAGCAAAGCACCACATGTTGGCTCACAAAGAGGCGATAAGCACATTCGTCCGAAATCCGTACGACTACTTACTACTACTACTACTACTTCTTCTTCTTCTACTACTACTACTTCTACTACTACTACTACTACTACTACTACTACTACTACTACTACTCTTATAACTCCTACTACCACTACAACTATCACTACTATACCTCCTAATATAATGAGTCATGACCGTTCTTGTCCCTTTGGACCCGGACATACATGGACCCATGTCGATCGCCTCATGGCCGTGGGCCACACGAGTTCGCATGAAAAACTGCCTGGCAGGGGATCCTTTGCAAGGGCACAGGGGCACGGTTGGTTGGATTGAACACATTCCATACTAAAGCAAAAATGCGACAGGTCATGTTTGGGTGCTTGAAACGCATTCTTCAGCTGGCATGCTTGCCCAAGAGGCAAAAAAAAGGGTATTAAACAGAGAAAAGCTATTGAACACAGCAATGTTCATACATTTGGCTTGAAAGATTGAGTAGTGGCAGGGTCTTGTAGCCGCTATTCTGCATAGATATGGATCAATCACATGTCTGACATGTCATGACGGGTTCCCAACACATCACATTGTCACACGGCTTTGTGAGGGAGACCGAACCTCGGTTGACTGCAAGGAGCACCACGAAAAGCACCAAACCCGGAGAAAGGGAGACATATACAGACATATCGACATGTAGAAGTTTCATTCATAAAACCCAGCCATATGATGTTATGAAGAGATATGAAGAGTTTTGCAAGATTCCATCATATTTCATCTTGATTGACGGCCTTCCAGGCAAGATGACTCCGTGGTGATGTGGTGAGCTACGTGGGATCGGTCAGATCGCGACGGTGCGACGGTTCTATATGCACGATCGGTGCACCCAGAAGGATCGAATGGCTAGTACAGATAGCGTGCCACCCTGTGACTTGTGGTTCTGCTTCTTACCAACACGTGTGTGGCCCAACTTGCGTGGCTCATGCAAGTTTTTAGCTGCGTCCGTTAGCTGCAGACTTTGTACAGTGCAAACATGCAGGGCACATGCCACCCTTGTCCGATCGTTGTAGATCGGAAGCAAGCAAGAGATGCTCACAGGGAAAGAGCCACATGTGCGCTGAATTCATCTGGGTATGAGCAAAAAAATATGGCCCAAGTTCCATTACTGTAGTTTTAGTGATGATTCCAACTGTATCCTTTAGCCATGGGGGGGTCGAAGGCTCCAGATTTTGAACCGGGCCCATGTATGCCCTGTGAGCTTACAAATGGAAGATCCCTGAAGTCATCATAGAACTGGATGTCACCACGCTGTTTGGTATTCGGATGGTCATCCTGTATCCGAACTCGTGGCCATGCCTTCCGAACTCGTGGCTGTATGTCCAGAGGCTGCATGTCCTGAGCATGCAAACTGTGCAGTTTGGGTATATAGTCATAGAGCTGCTGGTGCCATCTACTAAGCCCTGTTGGCCCGTCCAGAGTCCGCGGTCCGCGTCAGCTGCGGCGACCGGACCCGGTCGAAAGGGTGGAATAGGGCGGACCCCCCTTACCCCCAGAGGCGACCTGGAGCGTGTCCGCAGGGTGGTTGCTTCACTCATCTTCATTCCTTCCCAGAGGGTCCGGGGTCAAAGACCGTTGCCAAGTCTCGGCAGGCACAGCATGTGCAGCATGCGCCTGATGATGGAGTGTCACCCCAGTTGAAAGAGCTTCGATTGCTGGCAGAGTACCTTCGTGGTGGACGTACTGCACCCGCCAAGCGCGAAGAGAAGATGCCCCATCCCGCTGCTCGGATCCATCGACACCACTCCAAGGAGCATCCGAGACGTCATATTCATCCCAGGCCAAAGCATGCACTAAAGCATGCATTGAGTTCAGCATCGAGTTCAGAGAATCGAGTCCCCACACAGAGTCGTTTGCTTGTGATGAACCTTGATGAACCACATTCCTGCCAGTTCCTGCCCGCGATGCTGCCCCAGGAGTCGCCTGCGCCCTGCTGTGCCTTCACGCCGGAGCCCCGCACAGCGGCGCCGCTGCCGCGCCCGCGGGGCGAGCGCGGCGCTGCGGGAGAGTTCCGCGGAGCGCGGCCGATGGAGGTGCCGCAGCTGGGGACGCCCAGGCGGGGAAGGACACCAAGAGAGGTTTCATGAAGTGGATTGAAGTGGTTTGATGCGGATGTGGAGCCTGTGAAAAGAATTGTTTTCTGGTTGTGACACGCGTCAAAGCTGGAAGTTCTTGCAGTTCTAGAAGAAACAGCCTGCAAATGTAGCTGCACTGTAGGCGGCTGTAGCGGTGCTCTTTTTGAAAGATCTGAGCGTCACAGATTCACCTGTCAGTGGCCGTTTTTTTGTTCGACCAGCTTCAACTGAGCTCCTTCGAAGCTTTTGGACGACTGAGCTCACGTGGCAGGGACAACTCATTCTGTTTGCCATGGCGAATCACCTGCTCAACCTTTTTGGGGGACTTGGGGACACCACTAAACAAAATAGGTGGACAGCTTGATGTCACCAGTATTGCACCAACATGGATGCTTGAACAGGTAAACAGGTGGAAAGTTTGGTTATGGTAACCTTGATTTTGCAGGAGATCTATTCCTCAGGAGTCTTTGATGATGTTTGCCATGGCGCACTGCGACATGGCAACCCGAAGATCCCCGAAGCTCCCATCCAAGGGGGTTAACAAAGGAGGATGACAAGAGTTGAGTTTACTTTTGCACCCATACCACAGCTGTAATTCAATTCCAGTTACCCAGTAATTGCAACAATGGTGTTCCCCTGCACCTGACCGTTATAGTCATGATATAGGACTACCAGTAGTTACCAGTTGGACGGACGAACGTGGCCACCCCCCAAAGATCAAAAAGAAGTCACAAGGCCAACGACACCAACGCCTTCAGGAGCTTCGATTGCCAGACATTGACCCCAACATCCTGGCACAGTTTTGAGACGCCGCCAGCCACACCCACAGCGGTGCCAAGCTCCTTGGCTTTGCAAGAGCACATGAACGACGGACAAAATTATTGGTTGACTTATTTAGTCACGGCATGACCCTAAACCTATGTTGAGGGCTTCGTTTCTGTGGAAAACGATATGGTCCCCACCAAAAACGATAATCTTGTTAAGACGTACTGTAGTGGATACAAAGACGTTTGTGGTTACAATATGTTATTGCATTTGCATTTGCATGTTTATTTGAGCATATTAGCTAAACCGATGGGCACAACTTTTCACCAATGATAACCCCAGACAACTTCCCAAACGATAATCCAAACGATAAGCAAACGATAACCTAAATGTCGCGCCAGTCACTCCGTAGACCTACTTCTCCACATTACTAGTAACTAGTGTTTGTTCATGGGCCGAGCTACTAGGTCCCCGCTTATGTGTTGTGATCCTTGCACAGCCCAGTGCCACAAGAACCCATTCCTGTGCAGAAAGCACTGTAAGCCTCTAAGACTCTAATCTGAGGTTGTGAGTTATATTTTATGTTTTAGTCTATGTGCCGGTATGCTATGCTAACTGCGGTTTGGAGAAACATTGGAGAACGATATGGACCCCACCAAAAACGATAATCATGTCAAATGGTATTTGGCTACACAAGTAATTTTGTCCGCTGCTCACATGATGTTGCGACATGTTGCGACATGGTGTGGTTATTTCTGACAGGATAAGTATGAATACAGCTAAACCAAATAAGACCCAAGAATCCAGAGGTTTGAGTTTACTTTTCCTTTTGCTGGTTGACTGGATGGTATACCCATGGTACTCTATTGAATCTTCTTTGCATACATATGGATAGGGTGTGTACCATTACCTTGAACAACAGTTACCACTATTTTGTAATATTTTAGAGAAAGGCCTTTACTAACCCTCATCATCATCATCATCATCATCATCATCATCATCATCATCATCATCATCATCATCATCATCATCATCATCATCATTTGGCCCTGGTAATTGCATATACTCTTTAAAATAGTTCGTATACAACCATATAAATATATGGACTGGACATATGATGAACAGTTTTTATATGAAAATGATTAACTATGGATATGTTAGCTAAATATTGCGAATGTATTGACAGCTTGTCAGTCTTTCTTCGCACCTCTCTCCACCTCTCCAGGTCCGACGGTGCCGCCACTCTCGTCTCGGCCCGCCAGATTGCAGGAGTTCTCTCGGCCGAATCGGCGGAGACACCGATGAAGACGCCGGGAGACGGAAGAAGTGAAGACGCCATCGGGGGGGTGGGGCCGGTGCACATGTGCCACGCGCCACGTAGCACCAGAACAGCGCACGGTCATGAACATGAGGCTCACTTGGTTTGGTTCGAGTCCGGTTGCATTCCCAGATCACTTGGGGTGTTTGATGTTGCAGGGTGCCTGGGACTGGTCGTGTTTGGGATTTGGCACCGGAACAGCTTGGCACTGCCAGTGCAGCTGGGAACTTGCTGCCAGGAGCCACGTTCTGGACGACCCGAACGTCCACCCCCAGTGGCAGTTGACAGGAGCCATTCCGCGTCACAACTGGAAGGTTGGTAGCACTGAGAACGTTGTTTGCTTAATTAGGAATGTTAGATAATATGATATGTTCCATCCGGATATGTTCTTCGATTTCTCGTGGAGGGAAATTCAATTCTGCTCCTTTGGAGGGACAGTCTTTACACCAGGGCTGACCATGTTTTGAGCTGTCAAAACAACTGGAGTTGTCCAACAAGTCTCATCCAGATGTTGTTCCAAAGCCGGATGGCGTCGCTGTTCGAAACACTCCAGACCACCCAAGCGACACGCACACTGCAGGACGCGTGTCGCCACACCAGTGCTGGTCGCGTGTGGGGGGATCTGGAGCCGGAATGGGGGGGATCGGGCAGAGTGTTTGGTGACCGTCAGTTTCGTGTTTCGAGGAAGCATTCGGTCATTGTTCTTCGGTGGCATACAGATTTCGGTGGGATAAGGAAGGCCGCTCACCCACAAAAGAAGGCCGCGACCTGCGGAAGCTAGGACTAGGAGTTCGACCTAAGTTCTACCCGTTTTTGTAGGTGGAAATTAAGGGAAGTCGGACAAGAATGAAAAAATTGGACAGATGCGGTCTTTCTGTATATGGTCCGCAGAACATGTTCCAATCAAATCCAATCAAGTCATATGAATCATTGACACCATGCCCAAGCTCTCGATGTATTACCAATCTATGGAATAGATTCTTCACTTGACCCCCTGAAACAACCTCTATATAATATATAGTACATACATATTGCATATGCAAATATATGCAGTACACAACAAATGCCCATGTTTCATGGCCAGTTTGTGTTTGTGAGGCCCACAGTGTGCGAAGCGCCTGTGCAGTCTCAGAGGCAGTGGACTGATCGACTCGTCGTGATGGACTGACGGTTTGAACTGGTTGAACCACAAAGAACTCAACGGAGGAATGCTTTTTAGAGCGGTTTTTCATTTGGACCCAGAATAGCAGATGCTTTTGGTTTACCAGCCGTTTTAGATCACAATAAGAGGTTTTTGTTCACCCAATTCTACGTTGGGATGGCTCAATCCTGCTTTTGCAAGCCCCTTGTTCAAGTGTTCCATGCACCCCACCTCCCAGCTCATCGACCGTCCACGCAACCCTTCGTCGCCAGGATTCTGCCACCCGCCTTCGGCGGCGCGAAGCGAAGCGAACGCACGACGCTCACGAAAGGCCCGAAGGGCCCGAAAGGGCGACACAGAGCTTTCCGAAGCACAGCTGAAGCACCTGCGTTTGGGAGCTGGATCACAGAAGCGATTCCCCACGCTCAATGTAGATAGAATTCACAAGGCAACTGTAGGACAAGCAGACTTTGTGTGTTGGATGAGAACATTACAGTAAATGTTGCAATTGCTCCGGTTCCACCCATCAACCTTGGCTTCCGGTGCCAGGATGCGTCGTCCTCACGCCCAACTCCTTGCAGCCGGCAGCGTAGTGTCCACACTCCAGTTCGACGGCCCTGCGAGTGAGCCAGGATAGGCTACAGCTGAGAGATGTAGGGAGATTTGATGTCATATTATGGTGTTCATACTCTTCACATAAAGAGTTCGCAAGAAGATCCAAGAAGCACTTATTCCATGAAGTCCATGTTTCAGGTGCTTTCTTTGGATTGAGATGATTGAGTTGTCTACAACCCAGCGGCAAGTCCTTCCATCATTCCACCACATTTTTGAGATCCTATTTGCATATGCTGCTGGCCGCTTGCTTTAGTCGAATCAACTGCCGTGCTTTGCGCTGACCGTGTCGCACACTCGGAATTCAACTCCGGCACCATGGCTGGAGGGCGTCCTGTTTGACACAGATCAATCTCTTTGAACTGTTTGGGTGCAAACACCTTCCATTTCTTTCATCACCACTTAGACCAGCAAAAGTCAAACAGCCATGCCACCCCTGTGTACAATATATAGTCTTATTTCATCGGAATTGCCTGGCCTAAGACGCCAGGCTGTTTTTGCTCCGGCTCTCCATTGTTCACCGCGAGAAGGTTGCAACGGTTTCGCAGCTCTGAGGAAGTATGATCGCTCTCGTTGTTCAACAGATTTTTGCAAGCTACTGTCAAGCCACGTGTCGGTTTCAGGACCTTCGGTGACACTACCACTGAAATGTAGCGAAGCCTGTGATGGACACACTGCCGCCAAGAGACAAGAGCAGTTGTCACGGGTTCATGATTTTGGAATCTTCCGGCGGGGTCCAAGTGCTGTGTGGGTTGTGGAAGCTGCACCTTGATCATGCTGAACTGCTACTTGCATTTTTTGTTGGGCTTGCCCACACACCAATCTTCATAACTTGCCTTGAAGTTGAATTAGAAGACACAAAAGAAGACACATAAGAAGACCACTATCACAGATATCACAGTCCAGTATCACATAAAATACAGAAGTCCAGTATCACAACAGAAGACACACTGACCACTCGCTGGAACGACATAGAAGTGGATTTCACCTTCTGTCTTCCTTACGGGGCCATGCATGGCCATGCCATCCACTTCCATGTTAGTTCCAGGGAGTCTATATGTTGTGTTGATTGCTGATGGTTCATGATGGATTTGTCCTCTTGGCTCAACTGTTCTCAAATGTTCGTGGTGGCAGAAATATAGCAACCAATCAATAAAAGGCCGGTGACTTTTCAGAATACCGGCAAGTAAGTGCAAATAATCGCTGCGGGCAAAGAAATATGTTCAGCAGTTGTCACTGCCTTTAATTAATTTTGGTTGTTGACTCTTTTGGGAGACCTCATTCACCTTTCCGTACACCCTCTCTTCACCTGCTCTAGCTCGTGGACTAGAAGTGGACCTAAGCCATGGATGTGAGACTTAGCTGACTTTGCTGTCTGCATTCTCCACATGGGCCATGGCGACGCGAGTGGCGACGCGAGTGGCGACGCGAGCTGCGCGTGCTCCACGTGCTCCACGTGCTCAGCGGACGACGGCGCCGGGCAGACGAGGTGGACGAGGCGGAGGGTGGCGCGGAGCCAAGAGCAACTGGAAGAAGCGCGGTTGGAGGAGAAGCCTTGGGGTTTTGCAAGATGCGTGGAATCTGAGCACTCAGGAGGCATGGGATTATAGGATGTTTTCTTTTGAAGTTGGTTGGCCAGGATCGAAGTAGTGGAAGGCATTGAGAAAAGCTGTTATGGTGGAAGTGGACCTGTGCCACGTGAGCATCGTACAAGGCCTTGGTAGCTGTTGGAGAACAGAAATTGAATCCATGACCTTTGCACAGAAATATACTGTGCCTCTGAAAAAAATACAAACATTTTACTTCATCCTATATGGATGTTCCTTTTCTTTGCTCGGCATCAATTGTCTCTTAAGTGCGGCACTATATCTAACTCTGTCGTGTTTCTTATTTTTTCCGCCCGTACTCGGTGCGCACCGCCCGAGCGCCGCGCGAGGATTCCTTCCCGAGTTGCAAAGGAGGAAGAAGGCAGGGGAAGCATGGCCACATATAGTCGCCCCATAATGAAGATGGTGTTCAGTCCATGTCTTGGGGAGATTTTGGGGGGGAGATCTTGATTGTATCCAGTACACTAGTGTAGATTCTCGATTGTCTTGGGGTGAGGGTGAAATACAATCGAGATTCTACATTACTGTACTGCAGATCGTTTTGTCCGTCCATCTCATCAGCTTCTTGCTTGCATGATTTCGCACGTGCAAGTTGGGTTTGTTCTTGTCCGTTGGGTTCCAAAAAAAGAGCTAAAACAATCATGCCGAAGGCCTGAACTTTTCACGGAGCTTCTTTAACTCAGTCAATGTGTGTTTGACGCCAAAGCCACCTCGTTCGCAGTCTCGCCCCGCTGGGATGGTGTCGGAGCCGGATCCGCCGGGAGGTGATGCTGAGCCGGTGGATGAGAGTCAAGCGGCCAAGGACCAGCGAGTCAAGGGCAGTCAAGGCAGGGATTGGCCCATGTCCTAAGTGAAATAAAGACATATAAAGACTAAAAGATACTAAATGATGTCATATCTCACTGTTTCAGACCGACTTCATATGTTTCTTTCCCCAAATGACCGTCTTGCAAGGACGTTCATCAGGCGCTCGTTGTCGCATGTCGCTCGTTGTCCCTCTATAGCGTCCTTATAAAGTTGAGATGCTCACCTGGCTTTGGATCAAGGTAAGCCAGGCAGTTGCCATGCTGGTTTCGGTGTCCTTTGAGGTATACGGAGATCAAAATGAACAGGCCGGCCAGTGTGCAACACGCTGGTACTGGGAGACCAGCTCCAAAGTTGTAGATCATCTAAGTTACATGGAATGGACAAAAACTGCATTCCAAGAAACCACGTGTGCATTTGCATTGCCAGTCGACAAGTGGAAAGCAACAAGTTGTTTGCCCCGAATTCTTCCACTTGTTCTTCAGGTCGTTCGAAGAGGCCCAAGTGGTCGACGCACACGAGACACGACATGGTTTTAGTGGCTGAACATATCATGCAGACAGGATTTGAACCACCCCAATGAATGTACATGTACCCGTCGCATGGATTGGGTCCTGGGTGATAGAGACGAAACATGTCCAAGACCATCACCTTTCAACAGCTTGCAAATTCGTAACCATAATTCCACTGTTACCAATAGGATATACGGTATATCTACCTACTACCGAGCAATATCATATACCGCAACCGGCCGTTGCTCGGAGGAGGAGCCGTTGCGCCCGGAGCAGCTCACGCCCGAGCAGCGCCGGGCGGCGGAGCGCGCTTTGGGGGGCGAGAACTTGTTCCTCACGGGAGCCGCAGGGACTGGGCGACTGGGCTGGAGACCGAGGAGTGGAGAGGGGGGAGGATAGGGAGGAGGAGAATCAGAATGCGCAGAAGGGCCGCTGGTGGAAGGTCTTTCTGTTCGTGTTTTGGTGGATATTTTTGGGGTGGGGGGATAATGTAGAGCTTATAGGCTTATAGGTTTTAGTTTTATCTTGATTTAAAGCTGTCGTCAGATGTGATTTGGAAGCTATGTATGGCAGACTGAGCTCATCTGATGTCAGCAGCGGGACTGAGGAAAAGCTTCTTGCTTCGCTACTTGATACAGGAATTGGAGCAACGGTTCCCAGAGCAGGCAAGAATCAGTGCAGCTACTGTTGCTTTTGACGAGACGTGCTTTGTTGCAAGCACAGCCGACCAGTCGACTTGAAGCAAATGGTCGAGATTGGGTCAGAGTACCAGCCAATCATGTTGGAGGCCATCGCCAGTAGGTTGGAGGATGTTGGAGGCCATCGCTAGTAGGTTGGAGGCCGCTACCGTAGGCAGGTTGGAGATCATGGTTTCATGGAGTGAATTTGGATCAGCTGTTTGGTCTTCGGATTTCGTAGTCACCTGGAGTCGAAATCGCCGTGGTCACCACTACTTTGTTCCAGGGACTGTAGATTCTCAGCAGGTCAGCAGGTCTCAGTTGAAGGCCCTGCAGCGGGTTGAGCCTTTCCAACGCTCCACCGCAGGTGGCAGTGACAGCCTCGACTGGTGTCGCTGCCTCGTGACCCAGCTGAATGGTGTTCATTCGACTGAATCCACCACATCCCCGGTGGCCTTGACCACCAGAGAACTGCTTGTTGTCTAGCCATAGGGCTATATTATATCCCAAATCGACATATATAGCTTCATATAGCATATGTACCTACATTGTGGCAGTTTCAGGGGTCAATGATATTCCATCCATATTCCATCCATGGAGTGTTTGGGTATAGATTAATAGTATACATGCATGTGTATAATTTATAATACCTGGACATGGTATGGCTATAAGGCTATGGCTAACCTGTTTTTCCGACGCTTTTAGACCCTGACATCCTGAAAGAGCTTTCACTTCTTCATGAAACACCGGGAAATACTGCAAGATACTGCAAGGATCAAGGATCTGATGGTATATACCCTTCGATCGGCACGGCTTTTCTCTTTGAACGAGAGAACTAGTGGAACTCGGAAACACCGGAGGGCGCCAGGAAAATGATGGTTCCCGTCTTTCCCTTCCGGGCTGACTCAGTCACCAGTATAGCTTCGGAACGGAGCCCTCCTTTCCGAGCTCAGAGAGAGCTCGCTCTCGGCCCTTCGACCCGTTCCGCGTCCTTTCGACCCGTTCTTCTGAGGCACTTGGCAGGGCAAACCCTTCACAGCTTCGCGGGCTTTGGAGTGGAGACTGCCCCGGTGAAGGCCTTGAAGAAGGCCCCACCGCGACCACCACGGGGCTTTCGGGACGAGTGGACCGTTCGGGATGGTCTGCGAGTCTGCGAGTCTGGTGGTGGGCTGTTAAGCCATCCAGTTGGAAGAAACGTCCCCATCTCCAGTGGAAAAAAAAGCCGAGAAAGGATGGAAGAGCAGCCACGTGCCACGGAACTTTAGTAGATGCAGATGCCCCTGATTCCCTGATCTGATTCGAAACAAGATGGACGCTCCTGCCAGCGATCTAGTCGCAGGCACGAAGCTGGATTCGACCCGAAGAGTGGTCCTTGCCTGGTAAACAAGAAAGCTACTATAGGAAGAAGGGCATTA